CGCTGGTACCACGAGAGCCCCCCGTCCTTCCCTGCCGGCCCCGCTGCGGCGGCTGCGCCGCCCAGCCTGGACTACCAGCCGGCCGGCGCTCACCCCGGGCACTTCGTGGCGCACGGGCAGAACCACCGGCCCAACGGCAGCGGCGTCGAGCAGGGCGGCCCCGGCGCGGCCTCGGCGTCGCGCGGCCCCGCGGCTGCCGATGCTCCCAAGCCGCCCTTCCGAGAGGCCCTGAGCGGCCTGCAGGCCGAGCCCGCGCTCCAGGAAGGCTCCGGCGCCGCCAAGGTCAGGCTGCCCTGCCAGACCCTCGTGCCGCCGCCGGAGCAGGGACCCTCTGCCGCGGAGCTCAAGTTGGAAGCGCTCACCCAGCGCCTGGAGCAGGAGATGGACGCGCGCCCCAAGGCGGATTACTTTGGTAAGTGGAACTGTGGAAAGGCACCGCTGAAGGTTGTGGGTGTGATTCGTGGCTGAGGCGTTGCAGGGTTCACACCTTCAGGGTTGCGTTTCCCTTGTTCTCTCGTTTGGTTGTTCTTTTCCAGTTGCTCACGTGTTTTTATTTCGCTGTTACTTATCACAGGAACCGGCCCTCTTTTTCTTACGAATTTTTTTTTAATCCAGCTACTCAAATTTTAAAGCAAACGTGGTGTGACGCCTTTGGAGAGGAAGGAGCTGAGGGCAGGCTGGAGCGGACGGTATCTTTTGAGGTCCCAGCCATTGCTGTGCGGGAGGCGCTGCACGTTTCCTAGCAATATTGGTGATTATTGGTGATTATTGGTGGTTCCCAGCCCCCGTTTGCTACACGGCCGTGCTGGAGCAGCCGCTTGGCTCCCTGGGCAGGCGGCTGGTGTCGAGCCCCACACAGGGACCCACGGCTGCAGAGCGCAGTGGGGCTTGGGGGCGGCCCCATGGAAGCCGTCGCCGCTGGCCCACGGAGGCTCCGAGTTGAACCGCGCCTGGGTGTGCACGGGGGTCTGGCCACGCGCGAGCGGGAATTTCCTTGGAATGACAATCCCAGAGGATGCTAAAGATGGTTCTTTTTATCAAACCGACTACAAAGTCAGGTCCCATCCACTGCGAGCGGGTAGGTGGATGCAGACTGCCTCTGGAAAACAGGCAGGAGATGCTCTCCGTCCTCAATCTCAGGTCCCCGAGTAATCCAGACCGCCACCAGGTGTTACGTGGGTATTTTGTGATGAAAAGAGCCTGCTTAGACACGGGGATTCCTGAGTGAGGAAATTGAATGCCCTGCTGGCTTAAACCGATTTAGTAGCGCAGAATGGCAAGGAGTGGATGACAAACGGGCTCTTGGCTTTCCCATCTCCCGTGGCCACTTTGTGGTGAAGCAGCAGAGGCTGCTCAGCCAGCGAGTGTCCTGCAAACGGGAATCCCGGGGCTGCTTTTGCTAGGAAGCACGGGAATTCTGCTGCGAGCTTAACCAGCGGCAGGAGCAGGCCGAGCGTAATTTTTTCCTTGTGATTTGTAGATCTCGGGTCATGAAAGCAGAAGGGGAAAGAGAGCCAAGTCTTCGGGGAAGCAGCTGGTCGCCCTCGGTCAGGGTGTTCCTGGCCGCCCCTGTGGCGGTGGCACGGCGCTGCCGATCGCCTTGCTGTGATTGCTCAGCTTCCCCGTTTAAGAGCGAGTTTAACTTCGTGCTGGGGCGCATGGAGTCTCGCTGCAGCCCAGTGACCTGGGAAGCTGCTTTGTTTGGGTCGTTTCGGCCTGGGAATGTGCTTTGGTGCTTTGTGCAGGGAGCACGGGCTGGCACGAGCTCCAAGAACCTCCCCTTGGAGGAGAGATGCTGAATCCTTCTGAAAGGGGCTCATTAGGAACGTGAGTTTGGGCACTAATGGGCAAAATCTGAGGACTTTGCTGCGGGCAGCTGCCTTCTCCACCGGATAACCCCCTTTAGCCCCTATCAAAAAGTGTGCATGGCAACAAAGTGAAAAAGCAGACAGGATGTGATTGGCGACTGCATTATTTTTACCTTTTTGTCACAAGGTAAGTGGTGGCAGCAGGGAGGTGCTTTCATCTGCCAGGAAGTGTGCGGTGAGGAGCAGTAGTAATTGTGGCAACGTGGAAGTTCTTGCAGCTCAGCCCCCTGCGTTACCTGAATCAGAAACCTGGGGAGGGAGCAGAAGCGAAGCCTGCCGAGCTCCTCACGAGATCTTTGGGAATATTCCGGGCAGGAGGTTTTGGTTGAGACCTTCCTGTGTGTGGTTAGTGCAGCACCAGTGGCTGGGAAAGGAGGAGAGTGAAAGGGGGGGGATGAAAAATGAAAGGACACAGTCATGAGAAGGGAAGAAATACAGTCTGGTGGAGTCTCAGCCTTGTGGAGGAAGGCTCAGCAGACGTGCTGTGGATGCCCAAGGAAAAGGAAAGGAATATTACAGAAGTTTTTTAATCCTGTGCCCCTCTTACCGTCTGTCTTTTGTTTACATTTTTTTCCACTGTTGCTGCAATTTATTTCCTTTGGAAAAAAGGAAGGACCAGGTTGATCCTTTGCATCTGTGTTTGCCAAGCTCTACCTTCCAGGTCCTAAACTGCAACATGGAAAATAAATATCTTGATCTGAGAGCATTTTTTGCAGACATTCCTTCCAGATTTCTGGCAACTCGAGTGCATCAGAGCCAGGAAGTGAAACTAGGGACCAAACTGCTTTATCTAAAATACTTTTCAGCTCTCCTAATCTCGGGTGCCGCTCTTGTGACAAATAGATGTTTTCTAAAGATAGGCTTATCATTATTAGTAAGGTCTAGACTGTCATTCCGCCTCTGTTTGCACTAGATATTAATCCTAATGAAGAATTGTGACGCCGGTAAAGGATTTTTTTCTTTTTTTTTTTTTTTTACTTCACCGTGTGAAAATAAATGTTTGTAAAAGAAAACGTAAAATGGGACAAACTGGGGACTGAACATAACGTCGGTAGGATGCTCTGCTGAAGGGTAGCAGACAGTCTGGCTGTCTGTCAGCACGAGCTTGCTGTGCACAATACGTTTGTCTGCTCACAGTGTGTACAGTAAGGGAAAGGAAAGAAGCAGCCAAAGCCAAGGATTTTCCAGTTTTTTTTTTTTTTTTTTTTTTTTTTTTTTTGGTAATAGCAGCATATGTGTGAGCAATATGGGATAAATCAAACCTGCGTTTATGTCTAAAGGAATCTGGGTTCTGCGAGGCTGGTTTTGAAGAGCTTTGTGTGGTTTATGTAGGGGAGCACTTAGAGAGCCTTAGGTACCACAGGGATTTTGTGCCTGGGGAGGGAAGTTATCAGAGAATCATGGAAAGTTCCTAAATCCCTGTCGCTGGAGAGGCAGAAAAGCGGCCCCGAATCCCTGGGAGGTGCCTCTGGAAACCAGCTCTGCTTGTGTTCCAGTTTTTGCTGTACAGTTTCCAGGGAGCATCCAGGAATGAGGTGTCTGAATCCCACTGATTTTCCATGGTTGCCTGAATTCCTCACGCTCCTTTGGWTGCACCGGCCTTAATTTCCATGCGGTGAATGGGACGATTAATTAAAGAGGGATATCGGGGTGGCGGGGGGAGCTGTCAGCCCTGCACCAGCACCACCCAGGGCAGCGCGGACGTTTGGGGAAGCGGTGCCATCCCGAGGATGATCCCGGCCTGGTTTCCAGGTGCGAACTGGGCGGGTGCCCGGCTAACGTGTCYGCCTGGGCTGCACAGAAGCAGCCCCGCGTGGCAGCGCAGCCGGGGCTGCAGAAACGTTGCCATTGGCCTCGGCAGGTCCGAGTGCCCCCGGGTACGACACAGTCCCTCCATCTGCACACGCAGGTTCCAGGTTTTACAGGTGCAACGTATGGAGTCGTGTTTTAGCTAGCGCTCCTGTCACACAGGTGGAAATCCCAGTGTCACAAAGACCGGCTGCACTGTTACCAGGAGGCTTTTAAAAGAATTCTCTTAAATGTGTTTCTTGCTATAGGTCTTTGTTAGGTGTTAAGCTTTGGCTTCCTTCCTTTATCCTTAGAGCTGATAAGCTGCAGGTATCTTAGGAGACCCCCAGGCATCGAGACCTCAGGAATTTTTGCAGGTTGCTCTTCCCCTCSACGGGAGCAGAGGTGCAGGTGGATGACTGGAGCCCAGGGAGCAGAACTGCAGCTCATCCATCCCTGAGCCCCCATGGGGACAAGGGGCCCTCGTCACACTTGTCATTGAGTTTTACTAGCTCCAAGACTGGCTGCACCTTTGCTTCCCTATGCAGACTTTGCAAACATGTTACTCCTGATGAAACAGCAGTTGATTTAACTCTGGAGCTGTACGTGTTTGTGGGCACTTCAAACCTTATTGATGGCCATGCACCAATGAGTGACTGCAGGACTGCAGAGCGGAGATTTTCCTGACAGAAACTAGAGTTTTTCTCTGAGGTTTGTCCTCGGACGGCATCATCCCCGTTGGATGGAGAGCTGACCACAGCTCATCTCGCTGCAAGGAAGCGAGCGAGCAGCTATTGGCCTGGGTTGTGACTCTTCAAGATTAAAGCRCTCTGGGCTTCTCTTCCCCTCGGGGCTCCACGAAGCTCAGCTGGATTTGCAAGTTAAGAAAAAATCCTCCGCAAGAAGAGAGAAGAAGAACGGAGTGCAGGCAGAGGATCAATAGGTCCTTCGGGCAGAAGAGTTTGCAGGGGAAACTGAAAGCAGTGAGGGACCTGGCTCGCTTTGCAGTGGAGTTARCATAATCTCTTTTATCAGTGCAAGGTACTCAAAGCGTCGCTGACGCGAGCCCGGTGGCATTTTGCACTTCACTGGCACTGGGTACACGACTGTCTGCACTGCGGCAGAGCTGAGGGGTCAAGCACGTTGCGCACGGAAAAACAGTGCAGAGAAAAAAGCAGGTATCAACTCTTAATTCCTTGGACAGGGCAGTACCTGCACATCTGTGCCATGAATGATGAGACTGAGCCGTGAAGGGGAATCACACTGCCTTGTCTTCCAGGCACTCCCTGTTCCCCCAGGCACCCAAATCTGCTTGAAATCACCGGTTTGGAAGTGAGATTGCACAGGAATGGGCAACAGCTCCCCGAGGTGGGCAGTTTGTAGGGTGGCCGTGTCCCTGCCACGTGGAGGTTAGAGTTTAATGGGGAAGTGTGTTTTTCTAAGGTGAGCCACAAGGAGATTGCATGAGGTTTTAGGGAAGGTCTGAAGTAAAACCGAGACCCCGCGTTGGGTATGACATGACRAAACTGTTTTAAGCGGGCAGTCTTTTCAAGGCCTAGACTCTTCTGGAGCAGGTGRGTCTTCAAGAGCAGCTTCCCGTGTCTCTTGTTGAAGCGTGGGATGGAAATGTGGCAAGAAGAGGGCTGGCTTGGAGCGCAGAGGCAGCAGGGCGTGCGTCTGGATGGGCTGCGTGCGTGTCTGGGCACGTGGGAGAGGTGGTGCTGGAGGTATTTACATGCAAACACTGCGGGGGCTT